TATTTAATTTGAATATTTAGATTTATATTTTATTTATATGGATTTATTTATATTTAAATTTAGATTTTAGAAAAGAAACATAGTTTTATATTTATTTAGATTTAGATTTAGATTTTGATTTAGATTTAGATTTAAATTTAGTTATATTTAGATTTAAATTTATAATTAAAATTTTTATTTTTAAATTTTAAAAGAACAAATTTAGATTTTTAGATTTGGACTTTTGATGAAAATGTTCATTTTTTAGATTTTATTTTTAATTGAATTTAGATTTGATTTGGAAATATTTATATTCTTCAATTATTTTAGATTTATATTATGATTTATATTTATGGAAAAATTTATATTTAGATTTGGAATTTATCATTTATGGAACATATTTTTGGATTTAATAGGAAATTTTTGAATTTAGATTTTAAAGAATTTATAATTTTTTTGAGAGAAACAAATTCAAAAAGATTTGATTCATTTATTTAGATTTTAAAAGATTTCCATTTTAATTTTTTTATTTAGATTTATATTTAGATTTTATTTTTATTTAAATATTTGATTGAATTTAGATTTAGATTTAGATTTTAGATTTAGATTTATATTTAGATTTATATTTAGATTTATATTTAGATTTTATATTTTAGATTTAGATTTAGATTTTATTTATATTTATATTTAGATTTAGATTTAGATTTAGATTTATATTTATATTTATATTTAGATTTAGATTTAGATTTATATTTAGATTTAGATTTAGATTTAGATTTAGATTTAAATATTTAAATTGAATTGAATTTGATTTATATTTAGATTTATATTTAGATTTATATTTAGATTTAGATTTATATTTTAAATATTTGAATTGAATTGAATTTGATTTAGATTTATATTTAGATTTATATTTAGATTTATATTTAGATTTATATTTAGATTTTAATTTAGATTTATATTTAGATTTATATTTAGATTTATATTTAGATTTAGATTTAGATTTAGATTTATATTTAGATTTATATTTAGATTTATATTTAGATTTAGATTTATATTTTAAATATTTGAATTGAATTTGATTTAAATGATTTATTTTTGATTTGTTAAATGATTAATTGAAAATGTTAAAAATAATTTTGGATTTGATGAGAAAAAGAAAAAGAAAAAGAAAAAAAAATAAATCATTGAAGAAATCAAATCAAAAGAAGAAAAAAAAGAAATTAAAAAATAAAAAGAAGAAGAGAATAGAAGAAGAAAAAGAAGGAATTGAGCTATTATTACAAGCAAGAATATCACAGTCCGCAGCTTGTTCATGCATAGAAAGGAGTTGGTCACAAGAATAACCAAGAGGATCGTAGCAGTTATAATTATAAGTACCGTTTACTTGAGTACCGCACCAAAAACAGTCTTTACTTAAGCAAGTTGACTTGTAATTTGCATCTGTTCCATTCCAATCACATTTAGAAACATTTTGATGACAATTAAAAACTAAACAAGTTCCAAGAATATCGTTTCTTTCCTTGAAATGTTCACATGATTCATTCACTTTATCATAACAAGTGAATTCATAATGATAATTCCATTCATATCCACACCAAAAACAATTGGATGACAAACATATTGATTGATATGATATATCTGTTCCTGTCCAATAGCATGGGAGATCATCTGAAAATGCTTGGAGGAATGTATAAAAGAAAATTAGAAATATAACGAAACGCATAAAAGAAGAAGAAAAATGAAGAATTTTAAATTAAAAAAAAATTTGAAATAATTATTAATTTAAAGAAATAATTATTAATTTAAAGAAATAATTATTAATTTAAAGAAATAATTATTAATTTAAAGAAATAATTAATAATTTACAAAACACGTTTTATTTTTTATTTTTTGTTTTTGTTTTTTTAAATAATTTTTTCAAAATACTTTTTTTCATTTTTCATTTTTCATTTTTCATTTTTTCATTTATTTTTATTATTTTTTTTTTACAAAATGAATTTTTTAAGTGGAAATCATTTTGATTCAACTGCTTTTTCAGAATTTCCAGAAATTGGAGAAGATATGTTTGATACTTTAATTGATTCTTTTGATACAATAGATAACGCAGATATTTTAAATCTTGATTCTATTGATGAATTTAATCAAACAAATCATAGAGACAATTTTTCTCATGATCAACCTTCAATTCAAACAATTGAACCAATTTCAAAACCAAATGAAGATACAAATACCACAATTATATCATTAAACGAAGAAGAAAAAAAAACCAATGAAGATCAAATTGAAAATGACAACAAGAAAAAGCAAATTGAAAATGACAGCAAGAAAAAATCAAGTCAAAATGACAGCAAAAAAAAATCAAGTCAAAATAATTCAAGATCAAAGAAAACAACACAAAACAGAAAAACCAGAAAAAAAAGAAAAAAAGAAGAAATTCCTGATCATCTTTGGGTCAAAAATACAATTGGAGAAGAAATTGATCTTCTTGGAGATTTAACAAAAGAACAATATAAAATTTTAACCGAAGAACAAAAAGAACAAAGAAAATTACTTAAAAATCGAAAAAATGCTCAAATAAGTCGAGATCGTGCAAAAAACAAGTTGAAAAATCTTGAAGATGAAGTTGAAGATTTAAAAGATATGAATGAAAATTTATCGAGTGAATTAAGCAAAACAAACAAAGAAAATGAACTTTTAAAGGTTTGTTTTTTTTATTAAAATTAAAATTCATTTTAAAATTAAAATTCATTTTAAAATTAAAATTAAAATTAAAATTCATTTAGTTAAAATTGAAAGAATTAGAAGAAAAAAACAAACGATACGAGCAAGAATTTCAGGAAGACCATGTTAAAAAATCACGAACTCATTCCAAAGCAAATCAACAAAACTCATTTATTAATACAGCAAAAACATTTTTTAATCATTATACTTCACTTCCAGTTGATGAGATTGTAGAATTTCAAGAAGATAGCCAATTATTAGAATTTAATGAAAATCAATCAAATTTAAACGACAAAAAACCATTTGATGATTTTTTCAGTTTTAATCCGAATGATTTATCTTTTGATTACAAATCAAACTCAAGAACACAAGCATATTCTTCAAATAACTCACTTGGAATTTCAATGATGATTTTCTTGTTTTTATTCGGCTTATTTTTTGGATCAAGCCTTAAATTCACATCAAATCATGATATTTTCCGAACTTTCCCAAAAGAAATTGATTTTAATTCATTTAATTCTATTCAGGAAATTGATTTTTCCGCTCAAAATATTGGCACTCGAGTTTTAAATAGTTTCAATTACAAAACAATTTTGGATCAATCAAAAGCAAATCTTTTTCAGTTTCATTCTTTCGATAATTTTAATTCAAGTTATTCTAAAAATAGGGATATTTGTCCTGTTATTAATATCAAAAATGCACTTCAAGCTATCAATCACAATGACTTCGATTCTCTTTGTAATAAAATTATTTCTCCTTCTTGTTCACTAAATAGTCGTTCTTTGTTTTGTTTTGTTGGTGATGCTTTTTGTCAGCAAAAAAATAGTAATTTACTCAATCATCTCATTTATTTCTTAATGAAAGGTGATCAAAAATGTCGATTTGTATAAAATGAAGTTTTTTTTTTTATTTTTAAAAAAGAAAGAAAGAAATATCAAAAAATTACTTCCAAATAATAATATTATTTTTTTTTAAAAAAAAGTTTTAATCATTTAAGTTTTCAATAAAGAAAAAAATAAAAAGAAAAAGATAAAAAGAATTCGATAAATTTTTAAATTCAAAAATTAATGTTAAACTCCTCCTAAAGCAGATGAAACAAGAACATACATTCCAAATCCAAAACATCCATAAAGAATAACAAGAACACATAAACAAATTGAATCAGCTAAAGTAACACTATATAATTTCCCACATTGATCTTTCTAAATAAAATAAAATAAAATAAAACAAAATAAAAAGTGGAATAAGAATAAAAAAAAATTTTTTTCTTTTTCTTTTTCCTCATTTTTATTTACAATTCCATTAGAAGAAGACCAAACAAATCCAATAATTAACCAAACCAAAAGAAAAAGATGAGTTAAGTGAATTGACCAAATAAAAACGCCAATTAAAGGATAATCTCTGGAAAAATAAGTTAAAATTGCAAAGACAAGATCAACAATCAAAAAAATATTACAAACCAAAATCCAAGTCCATAATTTTTTATCACAATCCTTTAATATTTTTTCAATTAAATTTGTATTTAGATTGATTTTTTTTATTTTTGCTTTTTTTTTTTCTTTTACTAAATTTTTATCTTTTGAAGCAATAACTAAAGAAGGAATAACAACAGCAAAAGTTGTAACAAATTGAATTAAGAAAAGTATTATTAAAACTCTTTAAATTAATACAAAATTTCAAATTAAAATTAAAAATGTTTCTTTTTTTAAATTTAGTTTTGGTTTTACTTATTATCTCTTTTCATAATAATTTTAAATGAAAGAAAGTAAAAAAGAAAAAATGATTTGAAACAAAACAAAAAAAAAATGGGAAATAAAACATTTTTTTTTCTATTTTTAAATTCTAATTGTTTTCTATTTCTTTAAGTGTTTCAATTTCTTCAAATTGTTTTTGAGATTTTGTTTGTAAATTATTTAGTTCAGAAAATAATTTTTCAGTTTGTTCTTTTTCTGTTTTTAATTGAAGAAATTTTAAATGAATTTCTTTTAATTTTTCAGATTTTTGTTCAATATTTTGATTTTGTTGAAGATTATTAAGTGAATTTTCAATATTTTCACTTTCTTTTTCTAAAAAAATAATTGTTTTTTCATAATCAGAAATTTTTTCTTCATAAATAGAAATTTGAGAAATATAATTATCAAGTTTTTGGTTTTGATTTTCTGTTTTTTGAAGTTCTTTAATAACATTATTAATTTTATAATCAATTTCCTTTTCTAAATTTTGAAGAGAAATATTTTCCATTTTAAAAAAAAAAAATAAAAAAAAATAAAAAAATAAATTAATAAAAAAATTAAAAATGACGTTGCCAAGAGTCGAACTTGGGTCTTGAACGTGTAAAGTTCACGTGCTCAACCGTTACACTACAACATCTTTTTAATTTAAATTTAAATTTAAATTTGTTATTTTAATTTTTTAAAAATAAATATATTTAAATTAATTATTAAAATTATTTTATTAAATTTATATTAATAATTTTAATAATATTATATTAATATTTATAAATAAATTTAAATAAAATAATATAAATATAAATAAATATATTATTAAATATATATTTAATTTAATTTATTAATTTAATAAATTTTATTCCACTTTTTATTTATTTAATCATTTAAATATAAATATATAAATAAATAAATATAAATATAAAGTTCACGTGCTCAACCGTTACACTACAACATCTTTTTAATTTAAATTTAAATTTTAAATTTGTTATTTTAATTTTTAAAAATAAATATATTTAAATTAATTATTAAAATTAATTTATTAAATTTATATCAATAATTTTAATAATATTATATTATTATTTATAAATAAATTTAATTAAAATAATATAAATATAAATAAATATATTATTAAATATATATTTAATTTAATTTATTAATTTAATAAATTATATTCCACTTTTTATTTATTTAATCATTTAAATATAAATAAAAATATAAATAAATAAATATAAATAATTCAAATTTAAATTTTAAATTTGTTTTTAATTTTTAAAAATAAATATATTTAAATAAATTATTAAAATTATTTTATTAAATTTATATCAATAATTTTAATAATAATATATTAATATTTATAAATAAATTTAAATAAAATAATATAGATATAAATAAATATATTATTAAATATATATTTAATTTAATTTATTAATTTAATAAATTTTATTCACTTTTTATTTATTTAATCATTTTAAATAAATAAATAAATAAAATAAATAAATAAATAAATAAATAAATATAAATAAATAAATAAATAAATAAATAAATATAAATATAAAGTTCACGTGCTCAACCGTTACACTACAACATCTTTTTTAATTTAAATTTAAATTTTAAATTTGTTATTTTAATTTTTAAAAATAAATATATTTAAATAAAATATTAAAATTATTTTATTAAATTTATATTAATAATTTTAATAATATTATATTAATATTTATAAATAAATTTAATTAAATAATATAAATATAAATAAATATATTATTAAATATATATTTAATTTAATTTATTAATTTAATAAATTATATTCCACTTTTTATTTATTTAATCATTTAAATATAAATATAAATATAAATAAATATAAATATAAAGTTCACGTGCTCAACCGTTACACTACAACATCTTTTTAATTTAAATTTAAATTTAAATTTGTTATTTTAATTTTTTAAAAATGAATATATTTAAATAAAATATTAAAATTATTTTATTAAATTTATATTAATAATTTTAATAATATTATATTAATATTTATAAATAAATTTAAATAAAATATATAAATATAAATAAATATATTATTAAATATATATTTAATTTAATTTATTAATTTAATAAATTATATTCCACTTTTTATTTATTTAATCATTTAAATATAAATATAAATAAATATAAATAAATATATAAATAAATATAAATATAAAGTTCACGTGCTCAACCGTTACACTACAACATCTTTTTAATTTAAATTTAAATTTTAAATTTGTTATTTTAATTTTTTAAAAATAAATATATTTAAATTAAATTATTAAAATTATTTTAATAAATTTATATTAATAATTTTAATAATATTATATTAATATTTATAAATAAATTTAAATAAATATATAAATATAAATAAATATATTATTAAATATATATTTAATTTATTTTATTAATTTGATAAATTATATTCCACTTTTTATTTATTTAATCATTTAAATAAATAAATAAATATAAATAAATAAATAAATATAAAGTTCACGTGCTCAACCGTTACACTACAACATCTTTTTAATTTAAATTTTAAATTTGTTATTTTAATTTTTAAAAATAAATATATTTAAATTAATTATTAAAATTATTTTAATAAATTTTATATTAATAATTTTAATAATATTATATTAATATTTATAAATATATTTAAATAAATAATATAAAATATATATAAATAAATATATTATTAAATATATATTTAATTTAATTTATTAATTTAATAAATTTTATTCCACTTTTTATTTATTTAATCATTTAAATATAAATAAATATAAATAAATATAAATAAATAAATAAATATAAAGTTCACGTGCTCAACCGTTACACTACAACATCTTTTTAATTTAAATTTTAAATTTAAAATTTGTTATTTTAATTTTTTAAAAATAAATATATTTAAATAAAATATTAAAATTATTTTAATAAATTTATATTAATAATATTAATAATAATATATTAATATTTATAAATAAATTTAATTAAAATAATATAAATAAAAATAAATATATTATTAAATATATATTTAATTTAATTTATTAATTTAATAAATTTTATTCCACTTTTTATTTATTTAATCATTTAAATATAAATATAAATATAAATAAATAAATAAATATAAATATAAAGTTCACGTGCTCAACCGTTACACTACAACATCTTTTTAATTTAAATTTAAATTTTAAATTTGTTATTTTAAATTTTTAAAAATAAATATATTTAAATAAAATATTAAAATTAATTTAATAAATTTATATTAATAATTTTAATAACATTATATTAATATTTATAAATAAATTTAATTAAAAATATATAAATATAAATAAATTTATTATTAAATATATATTTAATTTAATTTATTAATTTAATAAATTATATTCCACTTTTTATTTATTTAATCATTTAAATATAAATAAATATAAATAAATAAATATAAATAAATGTAAAGTTCACGTGCTCAACCGTTACACTACAACATCTTTTTAATTTAAATTTAAATTTTAAATTTGTTATTTTAATTTTTTAAAAATAAATATATTTAAATTAATTATTAAAATTATTTTAATAAATTTATATTAATAATATTAATAATAATATATTATTATTTATAAATAAATTTAAATAAATAATTTAAATAAAAATAAATATATTATTAAATATATATTTAATTTATTTTATTAATTTAATAAATTTTATTCCACTTTTTATTTATTTAATCATTTAAATATAAATAAATATAAATAAATAAATATAAATAAATGTAAAGTTCACGTGCTCAACCGTTACACTACAACATCTTTTTAATTTAAATTTGTTATTTAAATTTGTTATTTTAATTTTTAAAAATAAATATATTTAAATAAAATATTAAAATTAATTTTAATAAATTTATATTAATAATTTTAATAATATTATATTATTATTTATAAATAAATTTAATTAAATAATATAAATAAAAATAAATATATTATTAAATATATATTTAATTTAATTTATTAATTTAATAAATTTTATTCCACTTTTTATTTATTTAATCATTTAAATATAAATAAATATAAATAAATAAATAAATATAAATATAAAGTTCACGTGCTCAACCGTTACACTACAACATCTTTTTAATTTAAATTTAAATTTTAAATTTGTTATTTTAATTTTTTAAAAATAAATATATTTAAATAAAATATTAAAATTATTTTAATAAATTTATATTAATAATATTAATAATATTATATTAATATTTATAAATAAATTTAAATAAATAATATAAATAGAAATAAATATATTATTAAATATATATTTAATTTAATTTATTAATTTAATAAATTATATTCCACTTTTTATTTATTTAATCATTTAAATATAAATATAATTAAATATAAATATAAATAAATATAAATAAATATAAAGTTCACGTGCTCAACCGTTACACTACAACATCTTTTTATTTTAAATTTAAATTTTAAATTTGTTATTTTAATTTTTTAAAAATAAATATATTTAAATTAAATATTAAAATTATTTTAATAAATTTATATTAATAATTTTAATAATATTATATTAATATTTATAAATAAATTTAATTAAATAATTTAAATATAAATAAATATATTATTAAATATATATTTAATTTATTTTATTAATTTAATAAATTTTATTCCACTTTTTATTTATTTAATCATTTAAATATAAATAAATATAAATAAATATAAATAAATAAATGTAAAGTTCACGTGCTCAACCGTTACACTACAACATCTTTTTAATTTAAATTTAAATTTTAAATTTGTTATTTTAATTTTTTAAAAATAAATATATTTAAATAAATTATTAAAATTATTTTAATAAATTTATATTAATAATATTAATAATATTATATTAATATTTATAAATAAATTTAAATTAAATAATATAAATAAAAATAAATATATTATTAAATATATATTTAATTTAATTTATTAATTTAATAAATTATATTCCACTTTTTATTTATTTAATCATTTAAATATAAATAAATATAAATAAATAAATATAAATAAATAAATAAATATAAATATAAAGTTCACGTGCTCAACCGTTACACTACAACATCTTTTTAATTTAAATTTAAATTTAAATTTGTTATTTTAATTTTTTAAAAATAAATATATTTAAATAAAATATTAAAATTAATTTAATAAATTTATATTAATAATTTTAATAATATTATATTATTATTTATAAATAAATTTAAATTAAATAATATAAATAAAAATAAATATATTATTAAATATATATTTAATTTAATTTATTAATTTAATAAATTATATTCCACTTTTTATTTATTTAATCATTTAAATATAAATAAATATAAATAAATAATATAAATAAATAAATAAATATAAATATAAAGTTCACGTGCTCAACCGTTACACTACAACATCTTTTTAATTTAAATTTAAATTTGTTATTTTAATTTTTTAAAAATAAATATATTTAAATAAAATTATTAAAATTAATTTAATAAATTTATATTAATAATTTTAATAATATTATATTAATATTTATAAATAAAAATTTAATTAAATAATATAAATATAAATAAATATATTATTAAATATATATTTAATTTAATTTATT